TGCCGACGTAGTCGTCTTCATTCCCCCTCGAGGCGCAGAATTTAATTTTATATCTGTGCTATAGATATATTCCTCTAAGCCAAATATCTTACTATGCTAAATAATTTACTTAGTTCGCATATAATAATTTGTTCAAATAAGCTTCTCTCCTTTATTTCCTATTTCTGTATTACATATGGCCATGTAATATATCCCACAATTATTTTTTATGGGATTTAATTATTGTCACAATGGATATCGTATCGTATCGATTGCGAACAGTTAGCAATTTTAATTGGCTTGTTTGAAACCGCTCGTTTATTGATCGCATGAAAAATGAAAGGACACGATGGTACGGACCGTATCAATTATGCGACGGCTACGCGAGAATGAAAGACCGAATATAAATCGGGCATGTGTCCCATCTCAACCCAATGACCGCAAATATACCGGTACATTTAATATGATAATCGACGATATGTGTGTGTATATATACCTGGATCGCTTTGGTTCTGTCGGAGAACACGAAAACCGGTTTCGGTTTCGTGGCGATGAGGACAGATTAAGGTCGATTCACATTATGCGACATGACGCGATACATACTTGCAATACAAAGAAGTGTTTTATTACGAAGAGCAACGGCATCTTCATTCCTGGAATACCAAAGAACAGGATTATAATGACTCACGAATAGGATTGCACTCAAGGTATTTTTTTTTTTTTTTTTTTTTTAAAATAAAAATTTAGAAAAGGTGACCTTGTTTTTTCTCTTGGAATATTAATTTCTTGGATTCGCAAATTTCGTCGTTTGTCAAATCGTAAAATTCTCACAGAGACACACACACACACACACACACACACACACACACACACACATCCACATATATGTTCAGCAATATTATCACTATCAATGAAATAAACGATGTTATATAAAAATTGGACCTCACAAAATAATGTTCATAGTTTTTTATTAAATTATTGAGTTATTTATAGAATTGGGACAATGTTATATATGTAACACGAGACGTAACACATAAAACTCCACGTGTCCAACGTGTTAATTTATTGAATTTCCTTAATTTATTTTTATTTTCAATTTCCATCTCGCATGATAATCATCTTGCGCTATCTAGCGATCACATTGTCCGGCATAAATCGACTTTCATTGCGAAAGATGTTTCGCATAGCGAGGAGCGAATCGGCGGTTGGCCAGAATATTTCTCCCGCCTGAGGTAGAGGGCGAGATTTGTCGCCGGAAAATTACCAGGGTGCAACGTTGCACATATAGCCGGCTCATAAATTTCATTTCCAGCCGATCGAACGATTTGCCCGTATAACGCACGCGGCGTTATGACGGCGCCCGCTAACTTCGCCGATTTCTACGAGCTCCTGCACGCAGATAAGTTATGGGATCGTTCTCGCGCCGCGATCGATTAATCCGCGAAAGGTGCGCTCGGGTTTGTGAACACCGCGTTGAAATAAAAAAATTATATCCTCACGCAGTCGCAATCTATATTACTGTATCACAATGTCTCCTTATTCGAGGACAGTAAGAATAAAAATTGTTGCGATAAAAAAGTGAAATTGAAAAACTAAATTTGAATTGCTTCAATAGTATTTATTGAAAAAAAAA